ATTCCAAAGTGATTTAGACATGACTACCTTAGCGCGTATACGTTCGAGTTCGGGTACATAGGATTATATCCCGTGTACAGTTTCCTTATAGCTCCGTCGAAAGAGATTTTTCTAGAATGTTGTTTTGACAAAGTAGGCATGTATAACTGAAAACAATAAACACATCGTTTTTACTTCCGAGTGTCATGATTTGCTCTATCATTGCCAATAAACTATTCATCCTGTAGCTTAGCTATTTGAATACAGAAACTGAAGGGGGAAATGATGTAACCACAGTGTTACAGAAAGGTCCACTTGGCAGTCAAAATATGATTTCACAGCAAGTGAACTATGCATTCATCATCTTATCATCATCTCATATACTGCTTTGCCCGATTTGCGTCGGATTACGAGCAGCTGCACATGTGTTAGTTACAAAATAGGTGACCGTACAAATAAAAACAAGGGTAACTGAAGAAGGAGACACTAAGAAACATAAATAACTGAATCTGTGGGTGTAAAAGACAAGACAAGTGCATTGGCATGGTCTGCAGCTTAAGAGCGTGGTTGGTGCGGCGGGAGCATCGAGCCGCCGGGACAAGTCTAGACGCATGCGGCACAGAAATGACGTTGTGGATGATCTTATACAATGTAGCAAAATCTCTCCCATTCCCCCTTCGGTTTTCTAGGGTTGCCAGCCAAGCTTGTCAATCATGTCAGTGACAGAGCTTGTACGATGGAAGTTGTTTGTAACATACCGGGCTGCTCGCCTTTGCACCATCTCTATCCGACCCACCTGATTGTTTTAAAGTCACCTCGTTTTCTCGTTATGTCTTCAGTTTTCCTGCTGTGTTAAGAACAAGTGCACGCAACATATAGTCTCGACTAAGCATGTATACGGCTCTAGCGATAGTAAATCAAGACCTAACAGGATCAGCCGCAGCTAATCCGAGAGAGTCCTTCCAACAGCACAACGCCGGTATCTTCTATGTCTGTATCTGGAGTCAGTGACAACGTTTTGACGTAAGTTCGCTCTTGGTTGTAGGAGTGTCTATCGCCTCCCGGCCGTACGAAGTTCTCGTCGAAGTAGTAGACGTGCGTTGTGTTGTCTCTGTTGGAGGGAACAAACTCGTAGACACGGACCCAGTCGCAGAGGTGCATCATCATCACCACACCTGCAAAACACCACGCCCGGGATGATTGGAGCCATTCCACATCCAAAAAAAGGGCAAAGCGGCTAAACAGTAAGGTAAATACATACAACTTCCTACTCAGGCTCATTACTGTGGAATAACTTGTCAACTGATCTGAGAACGGCCACGTCAGTTAGAGCTTTTAGAAACCGACTGCGGCAAGTCACTTAGGATGACTAAATTTGTGAACTTGGATGTCTGATACTGATGAGATATACGAACCGAGATAGTGTTTACATTTTGTATACATTGTATATATTCATATTGTAATTCTACGATTGATTGTAACTGAACTGGAGAATTTGCAAAGACCCCTGACCTACCTCCCCTTGACCTCTTGAAAAACGGCTTTAGGCCGAAGAGTTGTACTGATACACACAGGTTAAATAAAGGTTGAAAAAAAACTTCGGGAAGGATATACCAACCGTTCATGTCTTAATCGACGAAAGTTCTTGATACCCTTAATAGTAATTGATTTTAGAGTCGATCGCAGTTTCGTATTCGATACAAGATACAGTTACCCTGTAAGGTAAGCTTCAAAGTTTAAAAGGCATGAGCTGTAGAAGATGAATTTTCCAAAATAAGTAGAGAGAATGAAGTTGATATCACCCACTCTGTTTCAATGAAAATGTAATCCTCACCAAATATCCCTGTGCTTGGACTCCACTTGGTCTTGTTACATAGTCTAGTGGTGTCACAGAAGCGCATCACTTCGGCCTGGAGATCCTGTCCAAATTTAGGCCTCTGTATGAAAGGCAAAGTCCTGTTCGGAAAGGTCTTCCGGTATTTGATCCAGTTCTCAAAAGCATGATGTGTATCCCTTTTAAGGTCTAAACCTTGCGGTGTCAAGTTGATGGCGTTCATGTTTCTAATGACCAATCTTCCGTGCTTGAACATGGACGTGCTGTTCTCGCTCCAGAATTCCGGTCGGCACCTTCGCGAAGGGATGAGTGTGTTGACCATGCGAAAGTCTGTTCGGTTACCGACGAACTTCTCAAACCTGTCGGTCGGAGCGCAGTTAAATCTCAGCACCGCATCGTGGCTGTCTGAAATA